AAAATAAAACACGTAGGAAATAGCTTACTAGGTTAGATGGCTGGAATGTTGTTCCTATGACTATTGTAAGGCTTTGGCGCTAGTATATGGAAAAAAATATGCGTGCTCTTGCTTCTTCAGAAGCAGGTCAGAGACATGATTTGAATTGCAACTGTGTAGCTGTGTGATTCTTTGCAGGTGTGGTGAAGTCCGTACCACCTTCGCTCCTGGTGTGAATTATGTTGTATTGTAGGAAAATTGCTTTCTTCTACCGTATCTGACTACTACCATAGTGCAGTTTGCTTTCTTTTGGATTGTAATGTCCGGCTTTGTAATAAAAAACTGTTAATGTATGGAGGAAACTCCAGACAATAGCAAGTCATGCCAGGGAAACATTTGGCAGGCCTTTAATTTGTTTAAGCAGAGGATCAAATGCAGTCATTACTTCTGTAGTCTTTGTAATATTGCTCTCTCTTTGATCCTTCTTGTTGTCATTGTGTAAGAATCCCTGTCAGGTTATATTTAATTGCTATGACTTTCTCAGCATACTTTTTAAATTGGAGAGATGAACTGATCTCTGAAGACCAGTGTTATGCTACACATCAAGCTTTCCTATGGCATTAGGGAAATCAGCAGTCTTTGCCTAATATGCCACGTAGATTCACATAATGCCCTGAAAATAAGCACCGCTGAAGAACCCTGCTTCAGATGAGCTCAGGTGAGTGTGAGACACCTGGGAATTCATGATGCTTGCTGAATGTTTGCCAACACCAGCCCCATATAGTAAATCATAATTTGCCTCTCTCCTTTGCCGTGCAACACGCTTCCTGAAAGTAGTATGTGGGCACCAAACCTCTAGCACGGCAAAAGGCTTCTCTGTCAAGTCAGGTGTTTCCTGACTTGAGGACTAGATGGTGTCTCCTCTAACATGGAACTTCTGCTTAAAATAGTTTTATTGAAATGTTTCCTCTTGTTTCAGATGCTTCTTGGTGTGTCTTTCAGAGAATGAACCCTGGATGATAGGCCTGCTTTCTTTCATGTCTTTTTAGTTTTGAGTGTTTAACTTACTGTATGTTAAGGATCATAGGAGGTGGCTGATACTTTTGCTGTTATTCATTACTAGTGCAGCTGTGTGCAGATCTTTCTTAAATAGCTTGATTAAGATAAGCTGTCTAAAAGAAAAAAGGCAACATCTTCGGGAGCTATTTTTGCAGCTATTTTTGGTATGTATTTGTTGGATATATAAGTTTGTAGTGAGTTGCGTAATAAGATCTAGTACTTTACTATGTAGTTGCTTCTGTTAAAGGTAAAATTGAAGGTGTGGTAAAAAGTGGTGTAGTCAGTTGGAAAGGCATTTGTGTAATGAATTTTCATATGAGCGCTGAAATCCCAGGATGATTAAGACAGCTTACTGGTCTGCAAAACACTGTCCTCACAGAGGTACCTGAATTATAAAATTACAGAGTTGTTGAAGTGGGAAGGGACTTCTGGATCCTCTGGTGCAACCTCAGTGCTCAAACCAGGGTCTACTAAAGCAGACTGCTCATGGCCATGTCCATTTGGGTTTTGAGTGTCTCCAAGAAGGGAGACTCCACAGCCTTTCTGGGCAACCTGTTCCAGTGGGTTGACCATCATCACAGTAAAATAAATAAATAAGTAAATAAATTTTAGGTTTAAATGTAATTTCTTATATTTTGATTTGTGCTCATTACCTCTTGTCCTGTTGCTGGGCACCACTGAGGGTGCGAGGTGGATGGGAACAGTCTTTTTTCAGTGGTGCCCAGTGATAGGACAAGAGGTAATGGGCACAAGCTTGAACATAGGATGGAACATGAACATGTTCCATCTTAACATGAGGAGGAACTTCTTTACTTTGAGGGTAGTGGAGCACTGGAACAGGCTGCCCAGAGAGGCTGTGGAGTCTCCCACTCTGGAGACATTCAAAACCCACCTGGACGCTGTCCTGTGCAACCTGTTGTAGGTGACCCTGCTCTGGCGGGGGTTTGGACTAGATGATCTCCAGAGGTCCCTTCCAACCCTGACCATTCCGTGATTCTGTGAAAAGAGGCTGTCTCCCTCTTCTTCACACCCTTCCTTCAGGTATTTATATTCATTGGTAAGACCTCTCCAAGCCTTCTCTTCTCCAGGCTGAACAGTCCCCTAACTTCCTGAGATTCCTGTCAGCCCATTTTTTCTCAGCCTAATGAGGTCCCTGTGAATGGCAGCAACCTCTTGGTGAATCAACCATTCCTCCATGTTTTGTATCATCTAGGAACTTGCTGAAGCTGCACTCTCTCCCACTAGCAAACCCAAGTTGTTTGGAGAACGCTTAGATACTCTTATATCTTAGCTCTTGCATGTGTACATGAGACTACAATAGCCAAATCTCGCCTATTAGAAGTGAAGGGCTTTGTTTTGCACTAAAGGAAGAGATGTAGAGTTTGCTAGCCTATTTAAAACACGTTGAACATTTACTGGAAATTATCTCCTGCTTCTCCCCACCTGAATGGAGAGTTCCAGAGTGGACAGTGAGGAAGAAGGCTTGTTTTGGGGCTGTACACAGTAAGAGAAGACTCTAACTCATGAAATATTAAAAATATAATTGCAGGAAGAACTGGTATCCAACCAAGGTAGTAACCACTATGGATTCTTTCTTCTTAATTTCTATTTTCAAATTCTCAGAAGGAGTTAAGATGTTTTGAAGTTCAAGTAGATTTAAATGGTGAATATCTAGACTTATATCTGGCATTTCACAGTTTCTATAGAAATGTACAATTGTAAATAATATGTTGCTATTGGTTGTACTGGAAATCAGCAAATAAAATACTTCTTAGGTGCTCTTGGAGGCTTGTTTGTATGTGATGTAAACAGAAATATTATTGATGTTAATAGGGGAGGTATGTAGCCACAGGAAGCATTCACTTTGTGAAAATAACCTATGCCACATATGACCAGCTAACAACTCTGCTGTTGTTTGGTATCACTGACTTCCTTTTCCCAAAAAAGATTTTTTTTTTATTTTTTAGAGGAAATCCTGTTTATTTGCTTTGAGGAAATTTTTTTTTCCAGTTGGTCTTTTTTTGGTTTGGTTGTTTTTTTCTTTCTATTAATCTGTTAAGGAGTGCTGATACTCCTTGGAAGTTTGTTCTCTGCCTCTGCAGTTGCAGTGCTTGGTACATGAGGAGTTGCTGGTAGTGGCGATACAATCTAAATACCTTTCTTGTCATTAACGATTTGATTATCAGCTATTTCAGGTGTTCCAAGTTGTCTGACCTCTTCCGGGAAAGAGCATTTTACATTTATCCTTCTCTTTTCTCATCTGCCTTTCTTCTACCACAATGCTAGTTGCCTTAGCTGGAGAGCTATTTTGGGGCAGTCATTTCTATAAAGACCACAGTCCATTACTCCAACTCATGTCACAGCTTGAGAGCAATTGAAATGATATTCTAGAGGTGCTGCTCCTTGGGTTTGCTTAACTTTTTAAAGGAATGTAAAAAACAGTTAGTGAATCACTGAAAATATACTTTTGTTCTCTTCACCCCACCCAACTACTAGCCTTAGCCATCTATTTTTTTATTTCCTTCTGGCCTTTTTAATATCCTCTCACTCCACAATCATCTCTCAAATCTAAGCATGTTAACTTAAGCAACTTTACTTGGAGAATGATTCTCTAGGGCTGTCTGACGGATTAAGTGGCTGTACCTTGGTTGTGAAGCAACCTACGTTTGCACATTCTCCAGTCATTTCCCATTAAAACTTAAATCCATGTTCTGTTGTGGCACCTTTAAAACGCAGACCTCCTCCTTACATCTAACTGTTATGAAAACCAGGCATACTGTAACCCAGACCCCCAAGGAATGCTTGATTGAAATAACAGATCAGAAAAGTCTCTTACTAACATTCCTGTGATTATAGGTTTACTCAAGTGACAGAAACATGGTGTCAGCTAGCTTTCTGCATACAGCCTAATTTTGGTCCAAAAACTAACATAGCTCTTAAAGGCTTCACCGATGCAGTGTTTGTGGGGATAGACAGCTTCTTAAAATGTAACAGTATTCATTACCTTTCCTGTTTCCAGAATTATCTCACGTATTGCTGATTGGGTGGTTGATCTGGTTCCTGCTGCAGAGCACAGTGTATTTATTCCCTGTTAGTAGTTACTGAGATTGAGTAGAGTGAGTGAAGGGAAAGCAAAATAACTCCTTCTTAGATCCTCATAGGTAAACAACTTTGGTTTAGCCCCCTCTTCTCTTCTCTTCTGTGGTATCTATTAGAGTTATTCTTTATATTTGTTTTCTTCTGTTGGTAATTTGTACCTGCTTTAACATCCCCAAAATGGGTCTGGGGGCACTGATATAGGAACTGCAGGAAAAATTCTTAAGAAAGAAAATAAAAAAACATCCATCGGTTCTGATTTAAAGTTAAAAAATGAAAGATGAAGAACAAGTGTAGAAGTTAGTTTTAAAGTGGTGTATTTCATCAAGCAGTGAGCGTGGTATAGGAAGAAACAGCTGATAAATCACTTTCATTTTTAAGTGATTAAGTGACTCGAATGCATGATGTGGACACATAAAACAGAAATCTAAACTCATTTAACACATTTTGAATTTAGCCCTTCATGCTGATGAGGGTCAGTATCCGTTTGTCCTGATCTGTGTTAGAGGTATTGGAACGAGAAAACTAATCATGAAAGTTCTCCTAATGTTGTTAATCACAAACTTTTCATTTACAATGGGACCTAGCAAATACGTAATGAGAGCCCCTGTGACACAGGAGGCTGATTGCGGCCTTAGTACAAGTGAAGATGCACATGCTGTAAGTTCTAATGCAGTTAACTCCTACCCCAGTGTGTGAAAAATGAACATCAGCTGCTTTAAACTTAGTTTAAAGCTTCCTGGAATTGTTCCAGGTTCTGATATGGAAGGTCCTTCTACTTCACTGTTGATACTCATGTTTGCGCTTTCTCTCTCTCTCTCTCCCTCCCACCCTCTCCACCTCTTTCTCCCTTTGCAGGCAAAGGCAGCTCAAGCATCTCATCCGACGTGAGTTCAAGTACAGATCACACGCCCACCAAAGCCCAGAAGAATGCAGCTACCAGTGAAGGTAGGCAGCTGGTACTCATTACCCAGGTCAGGCCCCCCAACATAATCCTAGCTATTTTCAGAAAAGGAACCCCTCCTCCTCATTCCTTCCGTACACAGTACCATGGGTGCACTAGAAATTAAAAAAAAACAACAGTTTGACTCCCTGTATGCAGTTTCCACTCCTACCTGCTGTAGTTTCTGACTTAGGCTTGTGACAAAGGATTTGAGATTCTTCTGCAGAACAGAAATTTAGAGGGTTTTGAGTAATTTTGCGTCTTGCTTTTTCAGCAAAGGCTTTTATACTTAAGATTTGATGCAATCTGATTTTGAGCTTGTTTTTGAAGAATATAATTGATGGAAGCTTTTTGCTATCTGTTCTAGGTTAGATCTCAGCCTCTTATTTTCATACTACAAATACCATGAAAATGTGAGTTGTTTGTGCCAAGTTTTCATAAGTGTAGCTAAGGACACGAAGAGCTGACAAGACTTAATTAGATCAATGCATCTCACCTGCAGTTACTGGAGTATGGGATAGTCTGGGACAAGATTTTTAATGTCAGGGGAAGGAGATGTTTTATGTATCAGTATTAATACAATGTTGCACTAAGTGGCCTATGAACAGAAATGCTGATCCTCTCCTGCTGCTTTCTAATATGTGAGTAGGTGTGCTCTGTTAAATGAAAGTATATTGGCCTTATGTTTTACAAGAGTGTCTTTGAGGGCTGAGAGCAAATCATTAAATCTATATGTAGTTTAATGATGTAAGCTGAAAGCATTTTTTTAAATGATAAATTTATGTGCCTTAACTAGCATTTCTGCTCAGCTCTGTCATAATAATTTGGTTGTACTCAGTAATTATCAAATAATAATTCTGATTTCTTAAACTTCTGTCATCACAAATTAGGTTTCAAGCTCTGATTGCTCTTCGTCTGGCTTTATTTCTTATGGCTAAAAGAAATTATAGACTTTGAATAGTTCTAGTTTGGCAAGTCTGACTGTAGGATCTGTAGAGTAAAAGCAGTTCATGTAAGTAATAAATGACTATATAAATCATGAGAGTTTATTGTTAGGCATGCATAATCCCATATCAAGAATGAAGATCTGCACTTGTGAATCGTGAGATATACTGGTTGAGAATCTCTGCTTTTTAGTCTGGGCAATAAATTTAACAATAAATGAATACATGGTAAATAAAGTTAAGTTGAATAGTAGACTTCATGTTTCTCTAAGCCTTAGATTCAAAAGTTTTGAAGTACCCGAAGGAGGTGAATTGCCAAGACAGAAAATAGATTTAGGAAATGTATAAAAGCATTTTAACTTTTCTGTATGACAGCTGGGGCCAGGAGGGAGGGAAATAAACCACAAAGGAGAAGTGGAAACTCTGAAGTCAGTACTTAGCAATTGATTTAAATTTGTTTTACTTCGGTCAGTAAAGCAAGATATTTTTTTTTTCCCCCTGATTTTCAAATCAGATAATGCAAAATAATCCTTTACTAATGTCTAAGATTTATGTTCTTAATCTAGCCCATTGTACAGCTGGTGAACGCCAATGTCAACCCTGAAATCTTCACCACTGGTTTGCAGGTGATTAATTCATTAATGAGGGAAGCTTAAATTCAGGCCAGCAGATGCTGTGGCAAAGATATGTTTTTATGAGTTCTTGTGCAGATTCAGGAAGAGCTCTGAGCAATTCTTGGAGGCAATTTCATATGTGAGCCTAGTTTTTCTGTCCCCCTAGAAGACTGTGATTTGACAAACACTTTGACAGCGGCAGAAGTAGTATCTTCCTCAGCCTGTGCTGCTACTACTTTCCTACCCAGTTTTTCTGCTGGATCAGTTTAATATAAATTGTGGTAATGTGAATTGCGGTGTAATCTGACAGATATTTTGAATGTCGTAACAAGGGAGCATAAGGGTTCCAGGAAGGCAAGTGAGAGCAGAGGCACTGAGTGGTGGTGGTGAAAAACAGAGACTACTGAAAAGTGGTGTTGCTGGAAGGCACATTTATCAATGGGTGCATGTCTGGATTTTTTAGTAGTGCTGCTTCTTCTTCCCATGTACAGTAGACTTATGTAGTAGGAGGATTCAGCTGAACAGAAAGACTTGTACCTTTACTCACGAGTAAAGTTCTGTGCTTACAAGACCGAATGCTGTTCAATTACAGTAGTGTCTAGGGACCAGCTAAGAATAGGATTTTGTTAGATGCTGTACAAGCAATGGCAGTTATGTCTTTTCATTGGGGTGTTTACATAACATTTTATAACTGTTAGTTAAATTTTGCTTTATAGCACTCCATGCTCTAGTATTTGCTTGCCATGATACAGTAGTACCTGCCCACCCCAGAGACTGGTAAGTGTATCTCGTTCTTCACCATGAGACTGGTTTATTGCACAGACAGAAAGCTCCAATTCTGCCCTTTGCTTTAGCCCTGTATTATAAATTCATAGCACTGTATGCTCTCCTATGAATGAGCTACGTGTTGTGTGTGGTGAGATGTATGCATCCTAGGTATGGAGTGGGAAGGACTATGGAAGATTGCAGGTGAACTTTTCTTCACGTTCATTAACATGAAATAATCTTAACTGAACAAGTCACAGACAGCTTCTTTGTATCCCTTGAATTTCTACTGGCAGCTGAATTCCTGAGTGCCCAGCTCTGTGAAGAGTGTATAATTCGTGTTTGAGGCTGAAGGCCTTTCACAGCTCCTGCTTTCCAAGCTTTGCAAACAGACCTAATTCTTTCCAGTTTGGCACAGCATGTCTCCTCTTCTGTTTCTGTAAGACAGTTGACACAACACTTGTTGAAGCTGAATCAATGAAATTCCTTGAAACAACTAGAAAGGAAATCTGTGGGACTGATTCGTTCAAAATCTCTGGTGCTCTACAGCAGAGACGCAGTCATTTAAAGTACTTCTTAGGCAGGTATGGACTCCAAAGGACTGCAAAAAGTTGTCAAGGAGGACTCTTACTTCCTGAGATGGTTTGCTCTTTCAAGTATCTGACAGCAGGTGTTATCCTGCCATCAGTTTGAACAAACAAATGAACCACGCTCTTCATCTTGTCTACTGCAACCATTATATCTGTCAGGTTTCAGTGCTGCGATGTTTGTCTATAGGATGGGTACAAGAAGTGGGTAACAAGCTGCTTGAAATGGCTTATGTGGTGTTCCAGTCTGAATATGCTGTTAAAGCGACATCAGTTAAATCTCTTGATGGGAATGGGAGATGTAGTTATGGCCAAAATGTGGTAGTCTCTCTCACATTGTAAATTATGAGCATCTGCAGAGCTGTGGAAGGAGATTTTATGTTTCAAAGAGAAAAAATGCTTGTCATGCTAGTAAATGTGCCTGGGTGAACTGCACATCCTCTACTAGTGAAGAACAGGCAGTATGAGTTAGTATCCTTAACCAAACCAGCTTCACTCAGTGATGCATTGGAGAGCTAACTATTACCCCATTTCTGTCGTGTAGAGGAACGCAGACATTAGCTGGCAGACCACACAACTTCCTGAATTCAAACTTGAGATAGCAGTGATGCACTCGAGAGGGATGCAAAGGTGAGGCTGCACTGGTGCAGCAACTGAAGTCCAGTCTGCAGTTAAGTCACCATTGTTATACCTTTCACTTGCTGTACTTCAGTGAAGGGTGGGTGGGGGAAAAAAAGAAAAAGAAAAAAAAAAAAAAGTCTGTTTCTGCAAATCAGTGTCCTGTAGGGACTGTTTAGCTACAGCTTGGCTCAGAAGGAAGCATGGTAGGCTGTGAGTGTGCATGCACGCTGATGCCTCCACACCATCTCCTCTTCTGAGGATACAATTTTCTTTAGCTTTGAATATACACTGCCTTTTACTCCTTTTCCAGTCTCAGACATTGTCTGCAATTCTTTACCCCATCAATCAATTACAGTTAGAAACTTGAGAACGCATGAGTTTTTGCTACCCCCCATTGCTGTTCTGGCAAGTGAAAGACTAAATGGATTTTTGTGGGCCATTTAAATGCAATTTGCTAGACACAGTCTCAGCTGGAATATTATTGTTTAAAACTTGATTTAGAAGATTAGACCGAATGTTTTTGTATGTGCTTACCTTGATTGGGGAGCTTTCTCATAACACTTACCTGCAGAGGGTGGAATGTTATGTCCAGGCTGGATGCTCCATATTAACTTGACTGTTTTTCAAATAAAAAATCAATACTGTTTTCACTTCATGTGTATGGCAGTTAAATGGGAATCCAGAGGCAGCTTTAAATTGAGAGCTCATATATGAGCTCCATGTATTGGTTCTAATTTATTTCTCAGTTTCTATAAAATCCAATTGAAGGATTAGGCCTGAAGCAAAACACTGTCTTAGCAGAGGGGCTGAAATACCTCTGAATATATCCTGTTAAATGTTTATATTTTGAATTTTGCAGTAGTGCAGTGAAGTCAGCTGCTGTATTCTGCAGAAGTTAAAATTGTATCTGCTTTTAGTGATGTTGACTTTTAGGGACCTTTGAAAAGTAAGTATTTGACTTTTTTGTTTGTTTGTTTCGCCCTTCTGCAGTACTGTGAGAATTCTAGAGTCTGGCTTCCTCATGTGATGTTTGCATACCTTAAATATGCTTTAAAAAGACTGTGTTTGGAAAAGAGATGAATGAAGAGAACACAGCTTTTCACCCATTAGTGCTGCGATATAAGTTTAGTGCTGCGATATAAGTTTAGTGCAGAGATCAAATGCATTTGTTTTGGCAGTACTTGTTTGTATGCATCTCAACAGAAGAGGTATTTCTTCTCAAGTTTAGGCATTTACCAGAATAGTCCTCTATTATCATAGTTGTATCCTTCTTTCTCTTTTATTTGGGCCTTTTAGTGGTTCTCATGGACTTGGGAGGTTAACAGTTGGACTTGATCTTGAGGGTCTTTTCCAACCTAAATGATTCCATGATTCTGGGACAAACAGGCCCCATAGCCTGGCTGAATAATGACATTCATTACTAACCATTCCCTGAATTAAATCATTTTTGGGGGTAACTGTGAAACTGCAGCAT